CAGCTAAATGGAAGGACCTTGAGACCATTACCATAAATAAATAAATAAAACACATATATATAAATACTGCATTATTTTTCTGATGTAAGAAATTAAAAATGTAAACAAGAACAAAAATGCACAAAAGATTGTGAAGCAGGAAGAAACTGTTCAAAAGGAAAAGAGAACTAAAGATGGGAAAGGGGGGAAAGAAGGGAAAGAACATATAAGAAACAAAGGATAATATGAAAAATCAAGCTTTGTGAATGGTAAAGGGAAGGGAGCTTGACAGGAGAGGAGGGACACAGGGTGGGGGGATGAAGATATATCATGTACAGATTAAATTCCTTTAATGAATGTTGTCATTATATACACCTAAACCGTACCAATTAACTTAGATTTTTAAAAATGCTAGTACCTTTTATTATTTGACAATTTTTGAGAACTAAAGCAAGAAGCCACTATGTAAGTGCTGAATACATCTTAGCTAAATTTCACACGTGTGCATGCATGCACACTTATTTCCATCTTACTGTTTGGGAGAAAGGGTCTTGCTATGTAGTTTGGGGTGTCCTTGAGCTAACTATGAAGCCTAAGCTGGCCTCCAACTCACAGCAATCCTACTGCCTTGGTCTCCCAGGGATTATGCATGTGTGCAGCCATGCTCAGCTAAAGCAAATACTTTCTTTTAATACTATTTTTAAAACAAAACAACAAATGTTAGTTATAAATAAACTTCCAAGTTTCTGGCAAAATTAAAGAAATAAGGAATAAAGTACTATTATGGATAAACTGGCTATAAAACTCAAACAACCTCAAATATAATGGGCTGGAAAAGTCCTTCGCTAGCTGTGAACTTCCAGAACATGCGCTGGAAGAATAACAATAAAGATAATCAATCTAACTTGGGATTTGAAAAAAAAAAGAGAACCTGTATATTCTGAAGACATTTGTTTTGAAAAGTCACTATTTAATAGTCAAATTGTCATTTTAGAACAAGTCATTAAGACTGTTTATTTCTACTTAGGAAATCTGATTATCTGACTGACCTACACTCCCAGGTCTCTTTATTTTTATTTTGAGATAAGGTCTCATTAAATTGCTAAATTGTCCAGGCTGTGTCTCAACTCACCAGCCTCTTGCTTCAGCCTCTTAGGAGTGCTGGCATTATATAAGAGCATGTTCAAGTAATAACTATTGTCTTAAAACTGCTAAATTCCTAGTTCTTACACAGGAATAGGTTAATATAAAGAGCTATTAGTAACTTCCTGCAAATAAATTTAACAAGTTAAACAAACTTATTGAAAGACAAAAATTATCAAAAATGACACAAAATAGAAAATATGATTACCCATGTACCCACTGAAAAAATTAGATTTTTGTTTTGTTTTGTCTGTTTGAGACAGGGTCTCAGTATGCAGTTTAGGCTGGCCTTGAATTCACTCTGTAGCCCAAGTTGGTCTCAAACTCACAATGTTCCTCCTGCCTCAGCCTCCTGAGTGCTCGGATTACAAGCATGTGCCACTATACCTGGTTTGGATTTCTAATTAAAAACATTCCCACAAGGAAAACTCAAGGTTCAATGTTAAATGACAATTAAACATTTAACAAAGGAAGAGTAGATAATATTACATAAACTTGTTTAAGAAATAGAGAAGGGAAAAGTTCAATTCATTTTAAGGTCAACATTATTCTAATACAAGGCTAATGTACCTTTATCAAGCCAAGCTTATTTCACAAATACAAAGTTGGTGTTATGTTTTCTATCTAGATGTCCCCAAATAGCTTTGTGCATGTACTCATCGGTGGGACATTTGGAAGAGAACTGGACCATACAGGGTGCTACAGCTGACTCTCTGTTAGGGGGGCATGCTCATTCTCATAATCATGTGAGATGAACCAGTAACTTATAATAGCTAGCTGTCTACATCCATGTATTTTTATTTATATGTGATATGTATCTATCTCTACATGCTATGCTTTGACTTCTCCACCCCTCAGAGTTGAGGTGTGGAAGGCTTAGTCCACATAATATTCTGCCTCACCACAGGGCCATAAACCACAAAGCCGTGACCATGGGCTGAAAGTGTGAGCCAAGACCTACCTTTCCTCCATTTAAACTATTGATCTCAGGTATTTGGTCCTAAAAATGGAAAGTTAACCCACCACATGCATATGTATGTTTGTATTTATGTCCATCTCCTATTGGTTCTGTTTCTCTGGAGAACCCTGAGAAACCCTGAGAAACCCATCTACTCTTATTACTTCTGTTTAAAATTGTACTAGAGGTTCTAGAACAGAAGCCAAATTGACAGTTGACAGAAATTGGCAAAATCTATAAACATGAAATATCAATTATTTTAGGTATTTTGCTGCTGCCAAAGAAATAAAGCATAATGCTCAAGAAAAACTATATAGTGAAAGCTTGTTTGATCTTTTTTGCTTACTATTATTATTAGACAGTCTTACTATGTAATTTACCCTGCCTTGAACTCATGATATAATCCAGATTGTTTTCGAACTCCTGGCAATCTTTCTGCCTCACCTCCCAAGTGCTGGGATGACATGTGTGTGCTGCCACACTCACCTTTCTTTGACCTTAAGCAATAAACTGAAGAACAGTAAATGGCTGGGAAAAATACCAACTACAGAAGAGTTACAGAAGTACAAAGTTGTCTTCAAGCCTGAGAGTATAATTCAGTGGTAGAATGCCTGTGTAGGCTATTGGCTCCAGAAGAAAGACATGATGATTTACAAAGTGAAACAAGTAGGAATTTCCAGTTGGTACATTTATACACAGAAATCATTTGATATACATATTTAAATATGAACTAAAGGTACATTTGACTACATCTGACACATGCGTGTAATCCCTGAATTAAGGAGGCTGAGGCTACAGCATGGTCAAGGTCAACCACACTACATAGCAAAAGACTGTCTCGAAAAAGGAGGAAATCTCCAACGAACTCTACCAAATATTTACTAATCCACAGGAATGTCCAAGATGTATTAAAAGTGATAAGATTATAGAATAATGTATATGAAAGAAAAATGTATACAGCATCATCTCCTTGTCAATAAATCAATTAGCAATGAAAGATATAAAGGAAAACTTCAATGCCTGTAAGCATGTAAACACGTACACACTTGTGCATCTGTATAAACATAGGAGTCATCCACAAGGCTTGCTGAGTTTGAATCCCTTATGATAGTAAGAAGATGGAAAGGAGAAATTAATATTAGCACGTGTTGATGGGGCTGGGAGGGGACCAGGAATCAAACTCATGACCTTGCGCTTGCCAGCCATGTGCTGTGCCACTGAGCTATATCCTCAGACCCATTAGTACCTTTTTCTTAATTGTATTATCTTTTATTTGTCTGTCTGTTTTGGTTTTCTGAGACAGGGTCTGACTGGGTAGTTCAGGATGGCCTTGAACTCACTATGTAGCTTAGTCTGGCCTAAAACTTGTGGTGATCCTCCTGCCTCAGCCTCCTGAGTGCCAGGATTACAGGCATGCACTACCATACCCAGCTCATGTTATCCTTTTACAACTGAAAAAAAAAAAAAATCAACAAGAAACCTTTAAAAGATCAATACAAAACTACTAATAAAATAGAAAACACAGGCTAATGGGCCCCAAACACACCCATTAGAAATCAAAATCTAATGTCTGGTGTGGTAACAAAACTTGTAATCACGGCACTCTGGGAGGCTGAGGTAGGAAGATCCCAAGTTCAAGCTTATGTAGGAAAACCCCATCAATCAATAAGTAAAGGGGCAGACAGGATGGGGAATTAAGCTCAGTGCAGAGGTTGGGGGTTCCATCCCCCACACTGCAAAAACAAAACAAAATACAACAGAATAGAACAAAACCAAACACATCTATTTGAGACTTGAAGACCAAACCTCTTATTTTAATGACTGCTACTCAAACACTATTTTATCATTACATGCAGTTAGAGTGTACAGCATTTTGTTTGACTACTGTTTGCTAGTTTTTCTGATATAGGGTCTCACTACATAGTTCAGCCAGGCCTTGAACTCACTGTGTTATCCATGCTGGGCTCAAATTCAGAGTGATCCTCCAGCCTCAGGCTCTCAAGTGCTAGGATTACAAGTGTGCATCACAATGTCCATCTGCTTGCTTTATTTTATTTGAGATGCTGGAGATTGATCTCAGGGCCTCCGGCATGCTTAGCATGCACTGTTCCACCAAACTATATTACCACCCATTTTATCCTTTTCAGACAGGGTCTCCAATGCTCTTGCCCAGCTGATCTTGAACTTGTGATCTTCTACCTTGTTATTCCATGTAGCTGAGATTACGGGTGTATGAGCTACCCACACCCTATCTTGATGCTAGTGAAGTGATTACTATAATCAAATAAATTAGCATATCTATCACCATACACAGTTACCTTTTTTCCTTAGTGAGAATACCCAAAAATTTATCATTGAACTTCTAGTACATAATATACTATTATTAACTGCAGATCTCTTGCTATACATCAGCTCTTTAGAATTATTCATCCAAATTACCTGATTTTTATATTCTTTGACCTAGTATCTCCATTCCCCAATACTCATGATCCTAAAAAATATTTACTACTCATGCAACAAAGCAAGGGACTAGTAATTTCTGACAAGGTGCCCAGGGATATAACTTCATGCCAACAAATATTTCAAACTAAGTGAACCTCTCTCAGATCGTAAAACTGGTCTCTTAATCTTCTGCCCAGCAAAATAAGAAAAAATGCATTCTTTACATTTTAAGGCAAAATACTATCTTGGATCTGATGTGGCTGTGTAATAAATCCTTTTATGTAACAACTTATGATCTATAATGTAGCCATCTACTTTCTTTTTTTTTTTTTTTTTTTTTTTTGGGGGGGGGGTTACCGGGGATCAAACTCACAACCTCTGAGCTAAACCCCCAGCCCCAAGTCATCTCTTTTCTTTTAGGAAGCCATATTACATTTTTTCTGTGCTCAGCAACACAAAAATTTTTTAAAATACTCACTTTTACAGCTTCTTCTGTGTTAAGTTTATTTCCTTTAACCAAAACAATCTGGAAAGGCTTGTTATTGTCCCAAACATGCTGAAAGAAAATTAGGTAGAGGCGTTTAAATAAAAGAAATGAATATTCCCTAGCACCAATGAAACTGTCTCTAGATCCTCAAGTACATTGGAAAATTGTGAAAGCAGCTCTGAACTAACAAGTGAAAATCATATATATTAAATTAAGCATTATAGCCACAAGATCTTGGTTTTCAAAGCAAAACATAGGCAGCATGTACCACGAAATCACTAAAATAAAAATTATCAATGGGCTGGGAGTGTAGCTTAGTAGCAGAGTGTTAGCCTAGCATCCACGACGCCCTAAACTCATTCCAAACCATCTCCTCCCAAGCACCAACAAATAGTATTTAAAACTTTGGAATACATCTGTAATCCCAGCACTTGGGAGGCTGAGGCAGAAGGACTGCAGCAGGTTCAAGGCCAGCCTGGGTTACATAGTGAGTTCAAAGCTAACATGGACTACAGAGCAAGACTGTGTCTTTAAAAAAAAATATATATATATATATACTTTGGATAAGCTATTTGTGGTAACACAGATGGGCTTACTTTGACATATGCTGTATAATACTGTATACTAAAATAGCATATAGTATATATAATACTATATACTATATACAATTCGACACAAACTATGTAATACTATACACTAAAATTGCACCAACACAGACATATCAAGTAGTTAAGTAAACAATTTGTAAAGATTGAGTAACTTACAGAAATGTATTAACTATTCGAATGAACACAAACTTGCATATACACCTTATGTATTTTAAAGAGGTACCAATGAGACATGTTTAAAGTGGTAAAGCAGTTGAGTACTAAAGAATGTAGGCATATCATATTAAAAACACTACTTTAGTAAGGCTGCCAGAAATGAAATACTAATAAACCAACTATTTCTGTGCATCTCACTTTTCAATTAGCATGTCTCAAACTGCTCTTTGAAGTTGTAGGTTTAAGGTACAATCTCTAACTTGATGGCATGTTTCTGGTATGAAAAACACATAAATGGCATATTTATAGTATCTGTAACTTGAGCAAGTTAAAATAGTAGTCTGTGATTTATTTTTTAAATGGGTGATCAGTTTTTGGTAAATATGCACTGGTTTTCACAGAAGTAGAAGTGAGTATATGGAAATGTGTGCAACACTCAGTATATAACCTAACAAAAAATCACATGCCATCTACAATTACAAGGTTCACACATGAAACTTACAGAAATAATTCGTGTTTTCTTTGGTGGTAAAGGAAGAGGAAAGTTAGATGAATTCCGATTTATGGCAGCTTCTATGGCAATCATTTCCTGCTCATACATCTGCTTGATCTTGCAGCATTCCACAAGCACAAAATGGGGCAGGGTCCTGTTTACAACACAGTTCCGGATGTACTGGGGGACAATAAGGGGGAAGTGCAGACTTTCAAGCAAACACACTGACAGAATAAAATCAATTTGAATAGTAGTGTGGTAAATGCACTGTACAAGCACATCTTATTCAACAAGGTATCAGGAATATGATCACTTAACAATACATTAAATAGCTAGCATTAACTGAATGTCTAAGAATCTAACAACTGAACTTGATGCATAATTTCACATTGATCTTCACAATGCCCTACAAATTTTTTAAGGTTGGCCTCACAACATCTTAAAGAAATGAAACTAAGAAGGGTTAAGTTATACACTTAGCATCTGTAAGATCTCAATTTAAGACAGGTCAACTTATCTGACTCCTAACTTTAGCCTAGTGGTGGCGAACTATAGCACGTATGCTACAGTGGGCATACAGAATGCTCTGTCAGCATTCAAGCCAAGCTGCCCCAGAAGCATCAGGTAACTGCACATAGAGGCCATGCTGCATGCTAAGAATGGGGTAGTGCACTCAACAATGAGGTCACAAGCCAGGACTTGTCCCAGGCTTTGCATGGCCAGTCAGCATGCTCTCAAGGATATATAGATATATTTGTTTAGACTGGCTGTGATTTTAATAGATTCCCTTCTTATCAATACAAGAGTTTGGTTTTAACTTTTCTTATGAAAAATTATCATTTAATATCTAAGATTTAGCAAAGAGATGTTCTAATTAAGAGAATGGGACATTTTTAATGTGTTTTAATGTTGTGCTGTCCCCATATTTGAATTTGCAGCATTATATTTAGTCATGTGAAGAATTTATGAAAACTAGATCAAGAAGCCAGGCACGATGGCACATGCCTGCAATCCCAGCACCTAGGAGGCTCAGACAAGAGGACCACTGGAAGTTCAAAGCCAGCCTAAACTACACAATTAATTCAACACCAGCGTGAACTTTATAGTGAGAGCCTGTTTAATAGACGAAAAGAAAAGGTCTTGAACACCGAAAATCACCTAAAGCAAAAAAGCAAACTGAGAACAGATAGTGGAAGATCATTTTCAAGAGGCCTAGACAGAGTCCTTTGTAATAACTAAACACTCTTGGAAAGTGTTACATTAATTCTGTGCAGTAAAAACATTGTGTGTCCCAGTCAAGTGTCAGGCCAGAGATACAGCTCAGCAGCACAAGTGCCTGCCTGACAAGCTCCAGGTCCTGGGTTTGATTCCTGGTAACAAAAACACTCCCCCCGAACCCCACAGTGTTGCTTCTAATCAAGTGTGAGACAGCATTTTGACAAAAAAGCTACTAAACCTGGTGAAACTGAAAGAAAAGAGTTTCTTGAATGGAAAAAGAGGAAGTTTCATTTCCAGTGTCTTTGTTTTTAAAACTATCTTCAAAAAAAAATCACCTGACAGCTACCAGCTATCAAATTTTACTGTTCATAGCAAAATATGATAAGCCCCTATGTGACAGGCACTTTTATCAAAATGATCATGTTGTCTGAGAATAATTTCCTTTCTCATGATTTACCCAACAAGGATAAAATTATGCAAAACGCTGGGTTTGGTGGCGCACACCTGTAATCCCAGCACTAGGGAAGCTGAAGCAGCAAGACTGCCAAGAGGAGTTTGAGCAAAGCTGGACCTTGTCTTCAAACAACGCCCTCCCAAACAACAACAACAAAAAGCAACACCCCTGGGATGCTATATGGCAGAAATACTGCTAAAAATCAAATCCTGCAGTGGTAAATAACATTAGTCAGCAGCACACCACTGACTTATAAAAGGTAGCCTGCTGGTCTATGTATTTGCATGAAAGTACAAATATAAATAATTATGCAAGGCTAGTAGTAATTGTCATCATGTGGTTGTAATACCATGGGCTGGTGAAAATGGTATCCTCACCTGAGACATAGGGATAGATATCTATAATGCTGTGATAGAGGCTTTTCTGTCACAAGACATAAAACCCGAAAAAGTGGTTTCAATTACTAGTGATAGGAGACCTTGCAAGGTGGGTGCAACATCTGGTTTTACACAGTTCTCTGTTCAAGAAGCAAAATGTTTAGTCATTCAGTTTCATTGTATTATACTGTCCACAAGCTCTCTCTGCCAGTGAAAGAAGCAAAAAATTAAGACAGTATCTTCAAAGGTCACAAAAGTGGGGAATTACATCATGGCTCACGCTCTTCATTTTCAACAGTTTCTAGCACTTCCTGATGAAGTTCAGACACAGCATAATGCTTTACTTATGAATAACAATGTCTGGTGGCTGAGCAAAAGGCAAGTCCTAGAAAGATCTGCAGCACTCTTAGACAAAATTAGGCTGTTTGGTCAGAGATACAGCTCAGTGGCACAAACCACCTGCCTGGCAAGCACAAGGTCCTGAATTCAATTCTGGCACATGAAAGAAAGGATCAAAGAACAAAAAGCACATTTTTTAAAAACACATTTGACACTACACATCAATGTACTAAACAAAAAACTACAAAGTATGGGCACAGCAATATACGCACACCCATATGTTTACAGTAGCACAGTTTGTGATAGCCAAGCCTGGGAAACTTCCTAATAGCCAAGTGGCCCCCAACTGGTGAGTGGATAAAGAAGATGTGGGTTTCTTTAATAGAAAGCAGCACTACTCTGCCACAGAGAAGGATATGCTCAACACATTTCTAGGAAAATGGATGCACCTAAGGCCATAAGCTTAAGTGAAATAAATCAAGCACCCATGTATAAGTACCTCACTGTTTCGCTAGTGTGACAAACCAAAAAAGTAAGTAACAACAAAAGTATGTACTAGATATTGCAAAATGGGAAGAAAATGTTCAAATGGGGAGAGAAATTAGGGAGAAGGAACAACAGTAAAGCAAAATGAGAGAAGAAAGAAAACATACAAACAAAGCTTCTGTAAATGGGCAGAGGAGGAGGGGGTGAAGGGAGGGTAGGGGAATGGGAGAAAAACAAGTTCTATCATACACAGGCACAAACTGGAAATAGGCAGCTGAAATATTTTCCAAAACTAAAACATGCATTTGGAAATTCTGCATTTCAGACAATCCTATAGGCCACCAGAAAATCCACAAGGAATGTGGTTCCAGCTGGTCACGAATTCTCTATGTAGCCTAGGCTAGCCTTAAACTCATGGAGATCCACCTGCCTCAGCCTCCCAAGTGTTGCAATTACAGCCACGTGCCAACATGCGAAACTAAATAAGAATTTTGGTAACAGGTTTTTACATTTTCATAAGGAGACAATCCTATTTCCTTACTTCTCCAGATGAAGCCAAATTTTAAAGAACTTAATCTTTCCAACTTACAGTGGTTAGGTTTTTGGAATCTGGAACTAGAGCTACTAAAATTTCAAGAAAGCTTTATCTGGAAAAATGGATTCTATAACCTGTGTGCAACAACTGAGGATACAGAGAAGGTAAGAGTGTGAAGGGATGACAAAGGACACAGCACAGCTGGTAGCTCTAAAAATGAAACCCTTGAAGGATAGAATTCTTTGTCCAATAATTTTAGATCAATGAAATCACTTGAGATTGCTTTTCTTACATTGTTTTGATCACCATATGCTTGTGAGTAGCTGTTTTCAGCTTTCAATTATATAAAATATGATCAAAGAAACAGACTAACAGATGACCTGAAACTAATGAACTTGAGCCAACATTTGACAAATCAGCCGCATGCTTACGGCGGACGGCAAAGATCACAGTAACTATGCAAAAGCACATCAAATGCAAACTTTACTTTCAATAAAAAGCTGTTGGCAATATTGAAAGTCCTGTTACTGTGTTTTTCTTTTAAGACAAAAGATGTTAATGTAAGAGTTACTTTTTCTAAACTAAAACCTCCGTATTCAGGTTTAATTACAGTGTTGGCAGTTTCTGATAAATAAACGGGTTTCATGTTGCAGTTTGGGCACTCAGTCTCTAAAAGGTTTGCCATCACTGCATTGGCCAATCAACCAGGCGAGGTGAATATGTTATTCACATGTGCCACTCCCACGCTTTCCTACATAGCACAGGGCTCGATAAAAGCATTACCAATCGTCTTCCCAACCAACACCTATTGGTTATGTCCTGTTTTATTCTCATGACATCAAGGGGCTCTTCAGAGGCACAAAAACAAGCAAGAACGATTATTCCTATTTCCAAAGATCCCCAACAAGTGAATAGGAAGCCAATGTCTTTCAACAGAATAAATTTCCTACACGGATTCAAAGACTTACTGTATTGTATTCATTCTGAATCATTAAAAATAATTTTAATGAAGACTACTTTGATGAAAACACAATGTGACATCAGTCTTAGTATGTTGCCCACCAAGCACTTTTATCTTCCCTCTCTTTCTCACAGTCTAGAATTCAATTACTCAGTCAAAATGTCTTAGCTACCAATGGCAGGGTGTGGTGGTGCACACCTGCAATCCCAGCTCTTGGGAGGCTCAGGCAGAAGGATCACCATGAGTTCAAGGCCAGCCTGGACTACACAGTGAATTCAAGATCAGCCTGGAATATATAGCAAGATGTTGTGTCCAAAAAAAAAAAATCAAACATAAAAAGATGTAGTGTTTTATATAGTAGAGTATTACTCAGCTATAAAGGACAAGCTTTTGTAGGTAAATGGGATGCAACTCGAGACCATACTCATAAATGAATCAGATTTCTATGTACAAACGTTGTGTTGTCGTCATAGTGTAAAAAACTGAAACAGTAAATATAATCCAAAATGTACAATAGATATTATCAAAGTGAAAGAGGGAGAAACTGCTCAAAAGGAAAGAACAACTGGGATGGGAAAAGGAGAAAAAAAGAAAGTAAAAGATATGTGTGTGTGTATATATATATATAAGATACATAACTGTGCTACTAATCTGTTAGTTCATCAAAAAGAACAGTTTGCACTTGCATTGTTCAAGTGATTTTCATGCCTGTTTTGTAATCTGAACAACTATTTTGAAGATCACAATACACAATATATTAACCAGTGTTAATCTATTATTTTACTTTGAAATTCTGTACCATCGTTTATTTTGGTTTTAAAATACATAAATAAATAAATACATCCAGCGAATATTTGAAAGGAAATAAAATAGCCTTAAGAGAGCTCTTTTGGGCATTTTAGGCACAGCAGAGTTCATGACAATTGCAGTGCTGGCACACAGTACTGAAACTGTCACCAGCCAAGTGAAGCTCAGCAGCCTCACCTACTCTGGAGAGCAGAGTTTCAGTTAATCTTGAACTTGAAAGTCAGTCTTCACTGAAGCTTTGAGGTCACTTTCCCAGGTGTTACAGCTTGCGTCCAGATGTGCCCCTAACAACTGATGTGCTCACAGATAGGGTTTTGCAGAGGCGGCTGGATCTAAGGTGTATGGATATGGATTTAGGATTTGTCAATATGGAATATGGCTGAATGATAGCTAAATTATTCCACTGACTGTTTTAGCATAGTTCTGGGTATGGACAATGAAAGGTCCCCTTGGGCTGTGGGTGGTACCAACCAATATGCTAGATGGGGTGTGAAGAGAAAGATGAAAGGCAGGCTTGCTATCTCCTGCCTACACTTCCATGCCATTCTTCCCGTCCCACTTGGTTCTGCCTTGGAGACATCCGACTATGAACTGAGACATCTAGAAACTGTCAGCTAAAATAAACCTTTCCTTCTTTGGGAAAAAACAAAATGGACAGAAAGAAACAATAGAAAAGAATGTCTTCACTCCCATAACTTGCTTTTAATCTGTCTGCCTTCTAAACTACAAAAAATTAATGGCCTTCAAGGCATGGTGGCACATGCCAGTGAGTTCAACACTGACTGAGTCAGGACAATCAAAAGTTCGAGCCCAACCTGGGCCATTTAGTGAACTCTGTATAGAAAAAACAAATCATTTTAAAGGGCTGGGTATGTAGCTGAGTGTGAGCCAGGTGTGATAGCACATCGCCTATAATCCCACCACTTGAGAGGCTGAGGCAGAAGGATCACCATTAAGTTCAAGCACAGCCTGGACTACACAATGAGAGCCTGTCTCGGGGGAAAAAAAAAAACAAAGATGCACCTCAGTGTGTGAAGGACCAGCTACCCCTACACACACGCACACATAAGCACATGTGCACACACATACATACACACACAAACACACAAGTACCGCACCAGAAATTCAACACATGATGCAAAATCTAGTTTCCAGATACAATACCTGATGATCTCAGTTCCATATTGTCAGATATCACCTTATGTTTGGCATGTTTGTATCTCTCAATTAAAACAGTACAGTATCATAAAATCTTAATTTAAATCCTGTCACTATTGATCTCTCACTTGGCATTTACTCTATTCCTTACATAATAACCATTTTTTAGTGTCTAAAAGTATTTTCAATAAAGTATCTTAGAGACAAAGGCATCTGGGGCCAGTCTGGGCTATAACGTGAGTTTAAGGCCAGTCTGTACTATATAGTGAGACCTTTTCTCAAAATGACAAAAGAGAAAGACAGACAGACAGACAGACAGACAGACAGACAGAGGTAGCAACTTATTCTTTAAGAAGCAAACCTTGCTGTGTGTGTGCTGGTGCATGCCTATAATCCCAGCACTCAGGAACCTGAGGGAAAAGGATCCTGATGAGTTCGATGTCAGCCTGAACTACACAGTGAGACCTTGTCTCAGAATTAAAAAAAAAAAAGCAGTGGCAGGGGGGTGGGGGTGAGAGTGGGGGTGGGGGTGGGGGGGTGGCCCGAGGCAAAGACACAAAGACACACATACATACAAGGAAGACAAGCAAGCAAACCCTGACAGACTGGTGGCTGGCCCATGCCTATAATCCTGACATTCTCTGAGGATAAGGCAGCAGGATCACAAGTTTAAGCCCAGCCTGGGCAATTTAGTGAGATCTTGTCTCAAGACATAAAAAGCACCAAGTGTGGTGGTAAGTGTCTAGAATCTCAGCATGCTGCAGGTTGAGACGGGAAGGTCACTAGAAGTTTAAGGCCAGCCTGAACTACACAGCAAGACCCTGTCCCCAAAAAACAAAATAAGACTAAAAACAAAGACAAAGCACACAGGCAAGGGCGAGGTGGGGGAGGACTCAGTAAAAAGGCAAATTTGTGAGTAAGGGTTACTGAACTACACACACCTTTTTAAGCTCCACTTTAATCTGAGGTAGTTTACACATTTAAAGCACTCAGTATACATTTAAAGAACTCAGGCTTAAATGGAAATAAATATCTTGATGATTAGGGGCAGTGTTTTTAGGACTTAATTCGTGCAAATCTCCTAACATATATAGAAGCAAAAAAAAAAAAAAAAAGGTGCAAAAGGGATTACACACATAAATATTAATGACTAAAATTAAAATTTTTTTAAATTGAAAATTTTAAATTTTACTATACTGGATTGGGAATTTAGTTCAATAGTAGATCATTTGCAATTCTAGTACCCCTACCCAAAAGAATACTTTATATAACTGATAACAAATTCTTGTACAAATATATTTTTATACAACTTAATAAGTGAGTTGCTGTTTAATGAAATTTTAAAATATTTAATTTCCTCCAGGACATTTCACATTTAAATCATATGCTTGTACAGCAAACAAGTAGGCAAGTGTAACAAACTATGTTAAGAATTCATAATGCTATAGGAAAATAAAAAACACTAAAAATAAAAGAGACTGCACAGATACACATTCATATTTATAATCATTATGTCAAAAATACACATAACTATAAATAAAAGTAACAAAAACATGCCAAAATATTAACAATGATATTTTCAGAGGTAGGCATGATTATGGATTTTATGTCAGTGTGATTTTCTGTAGATTTAAAGTGTTTACAGGACTAGGGATTTAGCTCAGCAGCATAAGCGCCTGCCTTGCAGGCAGGCAGTCGTGAGTTCGATCCCCCGTACCGATAAAAAGGAAAAAGACAAAAAAAATAAAAAATAAAGTGTTTACTATTGGTGTACTCTTTTTTAAAAATCAGAAATAAAAACATATAAGCACACTTTTCAGTGAAGATAACAGTTAGCAAACCTACCTGGAACTGAATTAGTGGGTAATCACCAAATACATATTCTATTCTCCCAATGACTTGCAACACATAGTTACCAGGGCTGGCTTCATCATCTTTCCCATGAATAGTCAGACGTTTTTGGATTGCCAACTCATTTACCTTGATGGGGTTCATATTAGGAGACACATGAAAGCTAAACACCTCCTAAAAAGGGACAAAACAGAAAGCTGAAGCAGGAAATTCAAACACTGTGTTAAAAAATCACAGTTATAATCATTATGTGATATGTATAAATGTGCATTTTTGCAATCTTTAAAATTTTATCTTTGAATGAATTTTCTATATTCTAAATATGTTAAGATTTCTGATAATCTGAAAATCATCTTACTGTGTTCTGAATGCCACAGCTCCCATATGTAAGATTAATATTTAACTAAGCTTACTGGGAGCATCACAATCCCCAAGTTGCAATTTTACTACAATGCTGATAAAACAGCATGCTAATGGCAAAACAAACAAACAAAACCAGACCCACAGATCAATGGAGCAGAACAGAAGATACAGAAACATGTCCCAACACACTTCAGATACTTTTATCTTTGACAGAAGGGCCAAATATCTTTTAGACAGCCTCTTTAATAAATGCAGCTGGAAAAACTGGCTTCCCATAACCTGAACATTAAAACTACACCCCTATCTTTCACCACGCACTAATCTAAAATCTAATGGATCAAAGATCTAAATATTAAAAACAGAAACACATAATCTCCTGGAAGACCTAACAGGTGAAACTCTTGAAGACACAGGTGTAGATATATCCTTTGTGAACAAAATCCTGATTGCACAGGAAATATAGAGGCCACAGTTGGGAACACATTACATTAAAAAGCTTTTGCACACCAAAAGAAACCACCAACCGAGTGAAAAGACAACCCAAAGAATAGGGAAAAAAATTTTATCAGCCACTCCTCAAAGGACTAACATGTAAAATATAAAGAACTCAAAAATATCAAAATTGTTTCCCCAAAATTTAAAGACCAATCCCAAAAATAGGCAGCTAAAATGGATACTTCTCAGATGAACAAATACAAATAGAAAATAAGTATATACAAAAATGTCAAACATCACTGGTCATTTGAGAAATGCAAACTAAAACAATACTATAATTCACACTCCAGAAAGAATGGGTATCATCAAGAATCAATCAATAACAAACACTGGTAAGCCTTCTCCACTGTTGGTGGGTATATAAATTATTGCAATGAATATGGAAATCAGCATGGAGACTCCTCAAAAAACTAAAAGTAGAGCTTCCATTTGACCCAAGTATTCCTCCCTTTCTTGCTATCTTTCTGAAAGAGTTAAAAGGATCATACCACAGGAACATATTCACACCCATGGTTATAGCAGCACAATTTACAACAGGGAAATCTTGAAAACAAAACAGCCCACATGCCCAACAACAGATGAACAGATAAAGAAAAGACAGGTTTTATATACAAGGGAGTACTACACTGCCACAACAGAAAAAACCTACACATTTTTAGGTAAATGAATGTACCTTAAGAACATAATTTTAAGTGAAATAAATTGGACATGCGTCTATCACATTGTTTCTCTTGTGTGAGAAACCCAAAGGGTAAATAAGGACCAAAATGAATGATAGTTTTTGGGAAGCAGAAAAAAATGGCAAATGGGAAGAAGAACAATAGAGGGGATAGAGGAAAGGGAAAGGAAAAACAGGTATTTAAAAAATAAAAAAGAATGGAAGGAAAACAACAGAACAGAGTTGTGTAAAGGAAAAGTGGAAGAACTGAAGGGAAGGAATGGGAATGGGGAAAAAAAGAACTAAGGTGTATTATATACAGCTACAAATTCCCTATGAGGAATGTGATCATTATGCATTTCAAAGTGTATGAATTAAATCAGCTGGGTGTGGTGTGCATACCTGCAATCCTAGCACCTGGGAGGCTGAGGCAGGACTGCTGAGTTCAAGGCCAACTCAAACTACAGAGTGTGACACTGCCTCAAAAAAAAAATTTGTAAGGGGCTGGGGATATAGCTCAATGGCACTGCGCCTGCTTGGCAAGTGCAGGGTCCAGAGTTCAATCCTTGGTACAAAAAAAAAAAAAAAGAAAAAGAAAAAGAAATTAAAATTAAAAGGTATGACAATAAAATTAATTTTTAAAAAAAACTTTACTATCAGGGAATATATTATATGGATTTTCCCACTGAGTATCTTTCTCAACAAGTTATAAAACCTGGGCTGGGGGACTGGGGAGTTAGCTCCGTGGCGTAAGTGCCTGCCTGGCAAGTGTAAGGTTGTGAGTTCGATCCCTGGTACCAAAAAAAAAAAAAAAAAAAAAAAACACCTAGTCTGAAAATAAAGCTTCATGGTAGAGTGAGGCCCTGACTTCAATCCTCAGCACTGCAAAAACAAAACAAAAAATTTAGTCTATATCAAGAGGAAAAGTTTTGTCGTTCACCACTAAGAAAAAATCCATACTTTATACCAATTCAATAAATTAATAATTCTGTCCCAGGACTTGGAAGGTTGAGGCAGGAGGATCACTGTGAGTTCAAGGCCAGCCTGTTACCAGGAAATCTTATTTAACCAAATGGCACCTTGCTATACTTCATCTCATTTTTAGTTTATGGTCCCTACTTGCTACCCTGCATGTACTAGTATTGATAGTCTGCAAATGACAGAGAAGTGACATAGGGAGAATTTTATAGAAGTAGCAGTGGAAACAGCAAATGCACAGAAGAGGGAGTAGGTGCCAGGTATCCTTTATTCAGAGACTGGCACTCATTTTTTTCAATGGTGAAGAATTTTTATGAAATATTATTGGTTATAAACGGTGGTTCTGGCTTTTACAAATGTTCTTACTTGACTAAATAAAAGTATATAAAATCTATGTGATTTCTAACTTTTCCTTCTCCCTTTCTTCTTGGGTTTTTGTTTTGTCTTTTTGAAACAGGGTTTCACTCTGCAGTTCAGGGTGACCTTGAACTCTCTCAAACTTACAGTGGTTCTTCTGCCTCATTCTCCTGCCTCAGCCTCCCGAGTGCTGGGGTTACAGGAGTGCACCAACACAACAAACACAATCTTTAATAATTTTACTGATCAGTGCCAAGAATATAGGTCAGCGGCACAAGTGCCTGCCTGGCAAGCACAAGGTCCATTCTCAGTATCTCAAAAATTAATTAACTAATTAATTAATTTATTGGCCCACATTATACAATAGTCTAAGAAGCTGTAGCTTAATCCTTTTGGAAAGGTTTAGCATTTTTAAAAAAGCAGATCACAGAGAGGATATTAGCTAAATTTCAACTATCTCAATATCTGACATGTACAGGGAAAACAAGATTGTGGGGAAAGCACACTGAGATGGGCAAAAGTCGAAGATAAAACTAAGTTTAAAACAAGTTTTTTAAATTTGAAATTTAAATATGTGCTTGCCCACAGTAAAAACACTATTTGAAGCACAGAGGAAGCATTTCTTAGAACTAAAGTATTCAGGCAAAGACACAGATTTCAGGGGACGTAAAATGAAATTTTTTGTTTTGTTTTCTTGAGACAGGACCTTGCTGTGTAGTTCAGGCTTGACCTCAAATTGCACTGTGCTCCTCCTGCTTCAGGCTCCCCCTGCATCAGCCTCTTCCTGTCACAGCCTCCACAGTGATGAGATTATAGGTGTGTGCAACTAAACCTGGCTTAAAACAGTATAGAAAGTCTGGCTAGATGATCTCTAAATGATCTCCTTCTAACTTCATACTTTATGACTGCTTGGAATTGATAAGATTCTGTATCTTATCATCTCTGTATCATCATCTCTTATTTTCAAAATATTTCCTTAAGCCAGGCCTACAATCTCAGCACTCCAGAAGCCTGAGACAGGAGGGTTATAAAATCAAGCCCCGTTTAGGCAACTTAGCAACTTGTTGAAACTTTGTCTCACAATAAAAAACAAGGAAAAAAAAAATGGGACATAGCTCAGTACAAGGGTTCTGGATCCAATTTTCAGCACCACACACACACTCCATTGGGTATAGCAGCTGTCTAGCATGTACAAGGCCCTGAGTTCAAACTTAGTACAGCAAAACAGTAACAAAAACCCCAGAGTCCTGCGATGCAACCCTATGATCACAATACTCTGGGAGACTGAGACAGGAAGAATGCAAATTCAAGTCAAACCTGAGTAATTTTGCAGCTTAGTAAGACCATATCCCAATATAAAATACAAAAATGGCTAGAGATGTAGCTTGGTCCAAAGGCCTTAGGTTTAATTCCCACTACCACAATGGAGGGGAAAAAAAAAACAAACAAACAAACAAAAAACTGTTTTCATATACACTTTGTTAAAAAGATGATTACATTAAGATTTGTATATCCCAGTAGAAATACGACTCATCTGTAAAGAAACTCTGACTCATCTGTAAATTTACTCTGATAGGTAAATTGTACTAAGCCAAGGTTTCCAAATTGAATTGTAATCCCTCTTCAGCAGTAAATTTTCCTACTACACTTCTATGGGCCTTGCAGAAGTCCCTAAGCAGTATTTTATTTTATTTATTTATTTTTTTTTATTTAAGAGGAAAAAGAGAAAAACACAAAACAAACCAAAGCGGTGTAAGGGTACATGTAATACAGAACTACAAAAACAAAACAAAACAAAACAAACAAACAAAAAAAACATAACAGTAAGAAATCACCTGTTAGTAGATTACATATTATCATCTTGAAAATAGTTCCTCAAATCACAGTATCAAAGAATACAAGGTGGACATTCAAACAGGGAGACTGCAAACAGCTGTGTTCAATGATCCAAAAACATTGATATAGTCAGCTATTTAACACCCCTAAACACACTTGCTGTTATATCCATTAGAGCTCTTTTTCTTTTTTTTTTTCCCTCTCTTTTTTACAACAAAATTTACACATTTTGGATTTTATTACTCCTTAGTGCCTAAGCAGTATTTTAAAACTGAGTAAGATTTTATGCTACTAAAATTTTGACTCCAATTGATCTTTATTCTCAATTTATGTCGGGATAACCAATGGTGCTTTTCCTAAACAAGCCAGCCTGCCAGCTTCTCTGTATCTTTCTTTCTTTCCTTTTCTTTTTATATTACTTTTCTGTTTCTTTCTCCCCTCTCCCTCTCTTTCTCCCTCTTTCTCTCTCATGTTGGGTACTGAACCCAGGGCCTTTGCACTCAGCTACATCCCCAGCCCTTTTTATTTCGAGACAACCTCTTTAAAGTACTAAACTGTCCAACTGGGGCTCAAACCTACTTTAGCCTCCTAGAGGGCTGGATTAGAGGCCTGCGCTGTCTTATCCAGCTATAAACTTTCTTATCTAGGGATAATTCCTAAAAGCATGGTTCTTTTTCACCACTCTTTTAATAAATACTTATTACAAAATTGTCTAAAATGAGGCAAAACTCAGCAGGGTGTGGTGGTACATGCCTATAATCCTAGCATTTGAGAAGCTGAGGCAGGAAGGTTGTCATGAGTTTTGGACCAGCTTGAACTATAGTGAGAGCCTGTCTCCAAAAATCCACAAATTTAAAGAATAAAATGAGGCAAAAGTAGGTAAAATTAAAGACATGTGAGTAAAATTCTGGTTCATATACTCATTATAGGTGTGATCAAGATACAGAAATTTTTAAATTTTAAAATTTACTACAGCCAAATACAGATCATCATTAATCCATCTCAAAATACTCCCTCCTCATTTTGGAAGTCCTCTTTCATAAATGGCTTTATAACGTGTGACCAAAAGTATGGTGGAACGGCTGCTGAGCATCATCCAAAAGAAAGGCAGATTCATAAACAAATTACGGTGTGTCCTCATCCTCCTTATTCACTGGGTCTGGCACTGTGCAACTTCTGGTTCTTCCCCCAGTCAAAATGACCATAAAAAGTAAATGTTTTGAATACATTCAGGACACCAACACAGCCGTGACAACACCAAGACACACATGAAGGCAGACTTACAACTTCAGAAAAGTGGCAAGAAAGATAGCCTTACTGTGTTCAGGGTATGTGTGTGTGGGGGGCAGGGGGGGATCACTTGAGGAAGATTAGTGAAAATACGTCTTTTACTGTAATAAAAAATTTCCCAGCATTCACCCAAATTTTGATTACTATGCATGTGAGGCATAATAAAACAAAATCACTTCTCCCACTTTAGTTTCTTCATTGTAAAATGTGAGAAAAAACAGCAATATAAGGTTGTAGTGGAAACTGAAGTATAGAAGAAAAAGATCTCATGTAGGTCTAAGTGCTTGTTACGGCTTGGATCAAAACTGTCCCCAGAGGCCTATGTGTTTAGTCATAGGGCTTTTAGATGATTACATCACAGAGCACTGATCTCATCGCTAGTTTCGTCCACTGAGGAGCCCATAACTGAATGTGAGGGTGGGAGGTAGAAGAGGGGGATCTGGAAGAGGAAGTAGGTCCCTGAAGGTAGAACCTGAAAGGTTACAGTCTTGTCCCCAGTCCCCTCTCTCTTTGGATTTCTCACTTTGCTTCCTGGGTGTTGTGCCCTTTGGCGATGATGTTTCTGCCTTGGAATCAGCTGATCATGAGTGAAAGCTCTGATCTTGTGAGCCAAAATAAACTTTTCTCTCTTTAAACTGTGTATCTCAAGAATTTTTTTCCCAACCGAATCACCATTAATTCATATCACCATTGATTCACATATTCATAGAATGTATAACATATGGGAAAAAAAAGATCATTTTGATCTCCCCCACCTGACTTCTTTGCTAAAATGTTCTTTTAAAATCGTAAGATCTTTGCCAGGTATAGTGCTGCTTGCCCATAATCCCAACACTTGGGAGGCTGAGGTGGGAGGACAGGTGCGAGGCAGTCCAGCCCGAACTATGTAGCAAGACCTGTCTGGGGGAGAAGGGGGGACATGACACCAACATCTTTGTTTTCCCAAGAAATCTTTTTCACATCCCTTTAAAACTGAAAAGCCAATTATATAATGCAGTGTGCCATCAGTGTTCTAAACTACTATTCTACTGACGTGCAAAGGATGTTTAAACTATTCTACAGAATTCTAAATATACATCTACCTCAAATCTAAAGTTTTTCTTTGTAATGGTACATTAGTACAAGAGACACCACTAAGAATGGAACAGCATTCAAGTAAAAATCAGAGATTTCTTACTAAATACTTCTCTAAAAAGCATAATACAAGTATGCTGGTGCATGCCTCTAATCCCAGCACACTGGAGGCAGAGACAGGAGAATTGCTGTGAGTTTGAGGCTAGCCTAAGCTACAAAGTGAGCTTGAGACCGGGCTGAACTACATAGTGAGACCTTGTCTCAAAAAGAGAAAAAAACAAGTAAAATAAAAAATATAATAATACCTGACTATTTTCAAAATGAACAGCTACAATGAGCTTTCCTCCATAAAGTTTGTCTTCAAAGTTTTCAAGGATGGATGGATCATGCTCTGGTGGGTATGTCTGCTTCAGCCAGTCAATCCATGATAACCCCACAAGTGACTGGATCTTATCCTCACTGAATTTGCGCATTTTTCTTCGAAATTCATTTACTTCAGGATCCTCTAAGGCATCAAATTCATGTAGACCTAAACATATTTTGTAAAGGTATCATTTTCAGTAGCTAATAATAATAAAAGAGAACACAAAATGATTTAATAAAAAATTGAACTTAGATATTTAGACAAAACCAGGAATATATGAAAAAATAAAAATAAGCAAGATAAAATTATTAATCTCAGGGAAGGAAGGAGGCTGGGGGGAAAAAAGGAAGCAAGATATATTACACATTCCCTATGATGAATATGATTATTATATATAACCAAATTGTACAAATAAACTTAATTTTAAAACACGATAAATCTCAGGTACAAAACACATGCAGATGAAGTCTTGTGAAGAAATACAGATTGATTACCAGCTTTATAAGAATAATTATTGATATCCATAATACACAATTTAAAACCACATATAGTCAACCCACTCAGAGGCACATGCCTATAATTCCAGCATTTGGGAGGCTGCTACAGGAGGATCACCATGAGTTCAAGGCCAGCATGGGCTACATAACGAATTCAAGGATAACTGAACTACACAGCATGACCCTCTCTCAAAAGAATCAAATAATAATAATAAAATAAATTTTAAAGTACTACTACTAATAATGAACAGATGCACAGTTTTATGCCAAGAATGGTGGTACATATCTGTAATTCCAGCTACTTGAAAAACTGAGTCAGAAAGATTGCAAATTCAGTGTTAGCCTAGTCAATTAGTCTCAAAAATAAAATTAAGGGGCTGGGGATTTAGCTCAGCGGCATAAGCACTTGCCTTGCAAGCAGGCAGTCGTGAGTTCGATCCCCGGTACCGATAAAAAGGAAAAAGACAAACAATAAATAAATAAATAAAATTAAATCAGCCATAGTGGCTCATGTCTGCAAACCCAGCATTCTGGAAGACTAAGGATCGCAAGTTCAAGATCACCCTGGGCAATTTAGTGACTAGGCTGGGCTCTCTCAAAAGAGAAAGTTACCAAAGGGCTGTGTAAAGTTCAGTATGACAGTCCTGGGGTCAGTCTCTAGTAGTGCAAATAAGTGTAATGATTTAAAAAAATAAAAATTATAAGGATTGGGCTGGGTGTGGTGGCTCATGCATATAATGCCAGCACCTGGGAGGCTGATGCAAGAGGGTCATTGGAAATTCAAGGCCAGCCTGGGGTACATAGTGAGTTCAAAGGCAGCCTAAACTGCATACCGACCCTTGGAAGGAAGGAAGGGAAGGAAGGGAAAGAAGGGAAAGAAGGCTGGGGCGGGGTGGGATGGGGCAGAAAGAAAGAAGGGAAGAAGGAGCTGGACATGGTGGCACACATTTGTAATCCCAGCATTAGAGAGGCTGATGCAGGAGGATCACTGCGCGTTTGAGACCAGCCTGGGCTACAAAGTGAGCTCAAAGCACTGTGAGATCCTGTCTCTGAAAGACAGAGAAAAAAACAGAATGAGGAGGAGGAACAGGAAACAGAATAGGAAGGGGAGGAAGGGAGAAAGAAAAGCGAGAGAGAGAGAGAGAGAGAGAGAGAGAGAGAGAGAGAGAGAGAGAGAGAGAGAAGGGAGGGGAGGTGTTTAATAGTTGTAATAAAGTGTTTGCCTAGCATGCCCTGGTTCAATTTCAGGTACTGCAAAACAATTAACATAAAAGACTATCTCTCAAGGTCACTGATGTAGCTCAAGCTATAAAAATTCAATATATTCTACAGGATTACCATCATTACTATTTTAGTAACATTTTTCAGTACAGCATAAATAAGGGACTCTAAACTGGGTATGGTATCACACACCTGTAATCTCAGCACTTGGGAGGCTGAGGCAAGAGGAATGCCTTGATTTTGAGGCTAGCCTGAGCTTGACAGAGTTCAAGGCAAGCTTCGACTACATAGCAAGACTCTGTCTTCCAGAAAAAGAAAAAAGTGCAAAGCCAGGTATGCTGGCACACGCCTATAATCTTAGCACTTAGAGGATGAGGCTGGAAGACTGCTGCAAACTTGAGGTCTGCCTGAATTGCATAGGCAGATGTTGTCTCAAGGGGGGAAAAGGGAAAGAAAAAGTTTTGAGTTGAGCATGTGGAGTGGTTGCCTAGCACACACCAGGTGCTGAGTTCAATCCCCAGCAATACAAATAAGATACCCTACATGTTTAGACAAGTCAAGAAAAACGGGCATTTGCAAATACTTCTTTCAGAATGTTTTCAAATATTTCCTTCAGAGGTAAAATCCTCCGATGATTCATTTTGCTGGATGTTGGAGAAATTAATTCAGCTGTGGCATATATTTTCACCACAGGGAATAATCAGAACCTAAACAACAGCTCTGTAAATAATTAATTGGAACAAAAGTAAAAAATAATGATCAAGTACACAATCTTTCAGGAAAAAGTATTTTCAGCCTAGTCAGGACTGTCAAGTCCTAAAGTTCTATCGTTTTCTTTGTAGAGGGTGGGCAGTAACCTTGTTCCTGGGGTTAAATTGAAATAGTTGTTTACTGTTTCCCAAAGGGCATGACTTTACCACACTGTTGGTTATATTCATATAATAAATAAATACATGACTGTAAAAATTGACTTGTAAGGTATCAAAAGTAAATGTTTATTTTAAAACACTATGACTTATTCAAACTCCTAAAAACTTTTTATATACAAGGCCTCACTAGGTAGTTCAGCCTGGCTTTGAACTCACTGTGTAATCCAGGCTGGCCTCAATTACTGCAATCCGCTGGTAGGAGATTTGGGGAGATTGGATCACAGGCTTTCATACCACGCCTGGCTCAACGTAAACTTTTTAATGTGTGTGTATGATCACAACATCAGCTTTTCAAGATAGTCTGAAAAGCACAATCTATAGATAGTTAAGAGCAGTAAACTACTTAATTTTTGCAATAAAATACTTTTTATCTTGATCATTCGAATCGCAAGCCATATGGTGTAGAAAAATTTTTATGGGAATCAAAGAAAAAAAAAATTCTGGCAGATGGATACAAAACAAAGAACCTAATAAAGGAAATATTTATTTTGTTGAATAAAAATTAAAATTCTCGCAACATCGTCACAGCTCTAAAATATAGAACGAAATGTTTTTACCAAGGGCAAGAAAAATACATATATAATTCTAAGCATATACAATGAGGAAACATAATCCCCAAAATAAACTAATCATTCTCTCAAGTAATCAAACACTTTGTGTCATCAAATATCACCATACTGTAGTAAACCAACAAGGTTTTATTCTAATGGTCCTTGAAAGGAGTTAATCATTGGCTAGCCTGAATTACTATAGGTCAAGTCAAAACAAGGTATCTTAAAGGGGACAGTATTACAAAGTTACCCTGCATTAGTGAACCTGACCAGTATAGGTACCTATTCAGATCAAGTCTTTAAAGTCTCCTTCTAATAACCCTTTAGATCCAACATTATGTCAGCACATTCTGTAAAGCAAGATATTGACATACCATCGCCCATTAGGACTCCTAAGATTTCATGTCCTTAATTTTGTTACAATTTTCCACAGACTTAATTTGCAAAAAAGAATGTAGACATGATGCATCTTGACTCTACAAAAATAATTTTTAATTAAAGATAATTTCAGTTAAGGAGTAAAATTTATCAGAAACATGGGTTTTGTGGAAACATGAAGCAGCTAAAAGGTCAATATTGTAGGTATAGCTCATAAAAAATTAAGGATGTGTCTCAAAAAAAGCTATCTGGAGGCTGGAGATTTAGGTCAGCAGCATAAGTGCCTGGCTGGCAAACATGAGGGTGTGAGTTCAACCCCAGTACCCAAAACAAAACAAAACAAACCTATCTACAGTAAAGAAGTAATTTTTTTCTTTTGAATTCAAAGGAAGATACCTTGGTAAAATAAAAATATATCATTAGTGAAGAAAAAGACATACGACACACAAGCCAACATCACACTGCAAGAGGAGTTTATAAACATTTACTCTTCATTCTGCACTTACCTTATCTCAAACTGATAGTAGTACATGAACTATACTCTGAAAAGTAACGTCAGAATATACTTACTGTATGTTACATATATTATAATAGCTACCCTAAGAATTTGTGCTAGGAATTTTTAAACTACCTTTTCCTATAAGGACTCCAATTTTTGAATCCAATTTTTCCCCTGGATCACAACTTCTTGTCACTAACTTGAGGACTGGAAGAAAAGGTCTGACATCACAAAGTCTTCGTGTTTCATCTTCAAGTTCCTCATATACAGCAGTTTGATTCACACACGCAAACATGTAGGAGTCAATGTCCATAAGCAGGTTAAACATTGGGTAATTGTGAACTTGCTTCCATAACATCTGCAGATAAATGACACATGATCTGGATTGGAAATGCTGGCTTAACTGTACAAACACATCTGTACAAGGATACTCACTGCTGTACTGTTTGTAAAAATAAAAAAGCATATGGACAACCCAGTGTTTAGCAGTAACAGACTGGATAAGTCAATTACAGAATATTATAAAATTACGAAAAAGTAGATATATATTCTGCCACGGAAAGCCATCCCAAACACATTAAAGTCTAGGGGGGGAGGATAAAAAAATAAAAATAAAGCATTTTTTTAAATGGTAAAGTACAAACATACATATGATATAACACCTTGTATATAAAGTAATATATCCACATAGAACATAAAAAGTGCATTCTAAACAAGTTGTTAAAAGAAAATTATCCCCATGAAGATTAAGAGTCAATAAGGGGTCAAGGATGTAGCTAGCAGGCTGGAGATACCGCTTAATGGTACAGCATCCGCCTGGCAAACATGAGGTCTTGAATTCAAATTACAGTATCCAAAAAAAAAAGAAATAAAGAAAGGGGAAAAAAAAGAAAACTACACACATGCCTGTAATCCCAGCACTCAGGAGGTTGAGACAGGAAAATCACTAAGAGTTCCAGGCCAGCCTGCGATATAAAATGAATGCAAGGCCAGACTGAACTACACGGTAAAACCCTGACTCAAAAAGACCCAAAAAACCTTCACAGATATGAACAAGACACCTAAAGTAAAACTTGTGGCAACCCCTCCATTTTCTGACACAGAACAAACTGAAGAGCTAGGGATGAAGTTCCGTGGCAGACTACTTGCCTGGCATGAGTGAGGCCCTGGATTGGATCCCTAGCACCACGAAACAAACACAAGAGAAATAAAGTTCAGCCAACAAAAGAAATGAAAGTAAGTAAACAGGACTTCATCACACTTTAAAATTAGCCAGGGGCAGTGGTGCACACTGGTAACACAGCAATCAGCATGACATAAGTTTAAGACCAAGTTGACAGTCTGGGATATAGTTCGGTGGTAAAGCATATACCTAACACACACGAATCTCTGGGTTTGTCCCATAACACTAAACCACCAACCAAACAACCAGCACAGAACTACCATGCAATTCAACAAATTCCACTTCTACCCAAAAGAACTGCAAGAGAGGATTCAAACAGATATTTGTACACTGATATTCCCAGTGGCATTATTCACACTGCCCCAAAGTTGGAAATTACCCAAAGGTTTATCAACAGAGGCACAGGCAAACAAAATATAGTATATATGTATAATGGAATATTACTTAGCCCTAAAAATGAATGGAATTAAGATATATGCTACAATATGAAAGACAAAAAACATTCTGCTGTGTAAAATAAGCCACACAAAAAAAGGAAAGCTATTTTGTTGTAGGATTCTACTTATATAAAGTACCTACAATATGCAAATTCAGGTACAGAAACTAAAATACAAATCATCAGGATCTGGACTATAAATAAGTTATGGTTACATAGTTCATGTTTGAGATGATGGAAAAGTGCCAGAAAGGGAAAGTGGTGATGGTTGTCCAGCACTGTGAATATGTATCTATCGATGCTACTAGCTTTAAATTTAAAAACAAAAGGAAAGTCAATAGTCAGAGTCAGATATAGCGCAAGGCCATAAAAATGGGATTCACATCTATAATCTCAGCACTGGGGAAGCAAAGGCAGGAGGATCATTGCAAGTTCGAGACCAGCCTAGGCTACAAAGTGAGCGCTAGGCCAGCCTGAACTGCATAGAGAGACCCTGTCTCAAAAAAAAACAAAAAAATGGAGGTGAGGACTAGCATATTTGGTATGTCCATGAAAAGGACATGTATCAAATTTGCCATATGATTTTCACTATAAACATGTTCTATAACAGAATGACATTTCCCAAGCGACATAGAAAATAAGCTAAGTCTTCAGAAATTCAATTTTTAACATACCTGCTTAATATAAGAAATGGTAGCTTCCCGAGGTACCTCCAACTGGATATAAATCCCAGTGGGCAAAAGGAAATCCACAGATATGGAGCCATCAGAAGCTATCTGTGAATCCACTGCCCAGATGTCAAGGATGTCTGCCATAGCAGGAGGCATTATGAAGCTGAAGCACCTTCATAACCACATGGCCCTGAAAATCAGTAAGTAAAACAGTCATTAATCAAACAGTATATTAAGGTATGGCAAATCTGCTGGGTATGGTACCACACCAGCAATGAGAAGATAAAGCAGGAGGATCACGAGAAGTTTGAGGCCAGCCTGGGCTACATAGTGAACTGAAAACCACCCTGAGCTATACACCAAGACTGCCTGAAAAAAGAAAGAAGGAAAGGAAGGAAGAAAGGAAGGAAGACAGACAGACACAGACAGACAGGGTAAGTCAGGCACTGTGGCAAATCCTGAACTCCCAGCTATTTGGAAAGCTGAGGCAGAGACATCGGGGAGTATCAGGCTACCTGTATAACTAACCACATCCTCAGAAAAAAATGTATAGATATAGATATATGTGAGATAAAACCTACCAATCTGTAACTAGTATTTAGATTTTAAAAGTCATTAATAGGAGGCCAATTAAATGACATAGTATTTTAAAAGCAAGAGTAACTGGGCATGGTGATGCATGCCTGTAATCCAGCACTTGGGAGGCTAAGGCAGCAGAACTGCTTTGAGGTCATAAATTATTTAAATATAGTTTTAGTTATTATTTCATAAGTTTTATGTATACATGTGTGTTAGTATATATTTCATTCAAATTCAAGATAAATGTATGACATATGAAAGATGTTGAGCCTGGCATGGTGGAGCATGTCTATGATCTCAATACTCAGCAGGCTGAGGCAAGATCACCACTGAATTTGATGCCAGCTTAGGTCATGTAGTGAGTTCAATGACATTATATATCATGTCTCCAGGTCTTAAAAAAATAAAAATCGGGGCTGGGGATTTAGCTCAGCGGCATAAGCACCTGCCTTGCAAACAGACAGTGAGTTCAATCCCCCGGTACTGATAAAAATGAAAAAGACAAAAAATAAAAATAAAAAAACTTAGGGTAAAGATTACAAGATCCTTAAAAGTCAATTAACAATCACTCATCCATTCATTTTCTCCTATTTTTTAAGAAGAATTATATTCATAGACTGAGTTTTTCTCTGCAAACTCCAACATAAAGTATCCAGATAATAGTCAAGGAAGTTCAACAACTAACCGTTAAACAGGTCACAACATTCTTCATGATATGATGTGGCATCTTCCTCTTTGCTTTTACCATTACTCTACCACCCAAGACCTTGTGCCATAAATGCATTTGCTTTCCTACTGCTAAACCTGTGTTTACATGAAAAATGCTCATCAGATGAAAACCCTCAGTCCAACAAATGAAATACATACAAGGACCCAATAAGTTCTTTTGGATATAAGGATATGTTCACAATGAGGCTGAAATTTGTGTCTCACTGCCACCGCCAGGCAGCTGTGATATGAATTGAATCATTCCCGCCAGCTTGACCCATAGGTGGTACATGCATAACTATCCTATTGGCCAGCTTATACCACTTTCAGAGGGTCTCTGATTATAATAATACAAAGAAAGGCATTAATGTAGCACACAGAGGGCATCATATTACCGTTCCTTAAAGGAAAGGCTACAATGATATAAAACTTATAATATAACTAGCTTGTGATACAGCAGTTGTTAAAGCATATGCACCAGCAATGAAGTAATCGTAAGATTTCCACGTTTAAACTTAGAGAGTAAGCTGAGTGTGGTGTTGCATTCCTGTAATCCCAGCACTCAGAGGCTGAAGCAGGAGTACCTCCACGAGTTCAAGGACAGCCTGGACTACACAGTGACTTCAAGGCCAGCCTGAATTATACAAAAAGGCCTTATCTCAAAAAAAAAAAAAATTTACAGAATAAATTATTGATGAAATATTCATGAACACAAATAATTCTCTTCTCATATAATAAAATAAATTTATTGATTAGTATAATACTTTATAAATTGGTTTGAATAGTATTAAATTTTATATCTGGGTGATAATTATTCAAATTCAAGTAACTAGATTTGATCCTTCATATTTTGTATTAATTTTATTAGTAAAAAGACCAGTAAAAGTGATTACATTCACTTATACTGGTAATACAAGCCATTTGATGGGACAGCCAGTGGGAATGTGTTAAATTAGAAAATCATTTAGCAATCTCTAATGAAATAATGGGTCTAAACATTGATCATTAATCCTGGATGTTAAATATAATGCTGAAATGAAAGGACAGTAAGAAACTTTACAATGCATGTATCTTATTGACACACCAGAACCCACTGATCAATCTTAGCAGCACTAAACTGGGAACACCAATCATTTCGTCTCACAAAATGCAAAAAGAAATGCCAGGCACAGTGGCGCACATCTGTGATCCCAGCACTCAGAAGGCTGAGGCAGAAGGATCGCTGTGGGTTCAAGGCCAGCCTGAACTTGCATAGCGAGATCCTATCTCAAAAAAAGACCCCCCCCCCAAAAAAAAAAAAAAAAAAAAAACTTTTAAAGCTCATCAGTGAGCTTTTAGAGCTTAGCAGTTTAGCAGGAAATAAAAATTAACTTTTAAAAGTCAATAGCTTTACTATACACCAATAATAGGATACCGGAGAAAGAAATCAGAAAAGTAATTCCATTCACAATAGTTTTGACATAAAACACAGATAGATGAAGCTGGGCATGGTGGCTTATGCTTGTAATCCCCAGCACTCAGGAGGCTGAGGCAAAAGGATCGTTGCAAGTTTGAGACTGGTCTGGGCTACACAGTGACCTCAAGGCCAGCCTGAACTGTACAATGAGACTTGGTCTCAAAAAGACTAATTGATTAATTAATAGAAAATAAAAACAGAGGTAGATGACTTCTATAACAAAAATTTCAGAACTTTAAAAAAACTGAAGACTTCAGAAAATGGAAAGACATCCAGTGTTCATGGAGTAGCAGAATTAACATTGTCAAAATGGGCATAGCAATGCCAAAAGTGATATTCAGATTCATCAAAATATGAATGCTATTTTCCACAGAACTAGAAAAAAAAATTATATGGAAACACAAAAGACCCACACCAGTCAAAGCAATCATAAGCAAAAAGAGTAAGTGTGGAGGCAAGAGAATACTCAATTTCAAATTACACTACAAAGCTATAGTAACAAAAACGCAACTGGTACAAAGAAAGACACATAGACCAATGGAACAGAACAGAGAACACAGAAACAAATCCATTCAACTATAATCATCTGATTCTGGACAAAGGAGCCAAAAATACATGCTGGAGAAAAGTCAGCCTTTTTAACAGATGGTGCTGGGGAAACTAAGTATTCACTTACAGAAGATGATCCTTATCTCTCATCCTTATCACTCACTGACTGTAGAAACTTCAGTTTTGAAGTGGCTCCAAGACCTAGTTTAAAACTTGAGACTTTGAAACTGTTTAAAAAAAAAAAAAAAAACCACAGAGAAAACACTCAAAGTATTGGCACAGGCAAAGACTTCCTAGCTAGAGCTCCAATAACACAGGAAATAATACTAATCAACAAATTTGACTACATAAAATTTAAAAGTTCTTACACAGCAAGAAACAGTGAAGAGACAGCCTACTAAACAAAAGAAAATTTACTAGCTATTCTTCTCACTGAAGATTAATAAACTACATAAAGAACTACATAAAGAACTCGAAACTTAATACCACCAAAAACCAAATAGCCCAATAAAAAATGGGCAAATGAAGCTTCCTAACAGAAGTACAAAATGGACAATAAGTATATAAAAAACTGTTCAACATCTTTAGTCATCAGTAAATGAGAATCAAAACTATACTGAGATTACTCTAGTTAGAATGGTTAAAGAGTACAGGAAACAAAGGTTGGCAAGGATGTGGGGGTGGGGACTTCTACACTGCATGTGAGAATGTAATTAGTACAAGCACTATGCAAGTGAGTACAGAGCCTCAAAAACCGAAACACAGATAGCTAGGAATGATGCCATATGCCGTCCATAATTCCAGCATTGAGGATGCTGGGGCAGGAGGATTGCCACAAATTCAAGGTCAGCTTGTATTACAAAGCGAGATCCCTGGTCTCAAAGACAAAACAAAAAAATTAAATTAAAATTAAAAAGCTAACATATGATCCAACTATGCTACTTCTTGCTACATTATCTGAAGGAATTAAAATCAGTATAATACAGGAATGCTTGCAAACCCATGTCTTTTGCAACACAGTGCATAACAACAAAGATAAAGAACCAGCAATGATGCCCGGTAACAGATGGGTGGATAAAGAAAATGTATTACTTAGCTACATGGAAGAACAAAATTCTATCAACTGCAGGAAAACATGGATCTGAAGACCATCACTTTCAGCATAATAAAACAGAATCAAAATGGTTAACTTCCACACGTCTCTTTAACACGTAGAATCTAAAAGAGATGACAAGGAAGTAAGAGAGACTATCATTGGACAAACTGAAAGGGGTAAGAGGAAGGTGGAGGAAATGAAAGGTGGGTAATGGGGGATGGATCAGAGCAAAATACACACATTAACCCCCCACCAAATGTAAAACTAGGGAGAACAATGCAAGAGAAGTAATAGGGGATGGTGGTGGCAGTGAAAATGATCAAAGTATGTTGTTTAGATATGAATCTGCCAAAATGAATCCCCTATTAAGGGGATTACTGTATGACCAATCTTTTAAAAAAAGACGAAAAAAGATTTTTAAGTTCCCCCAAAGGTTCAGACCACGACTGAGAGGGAGGTGTCCTGGGACTTGAAGGTCGTGTTTTTTAAACTACTGTGTCTTACTAGTGCATACAGAGAGGTCTCTATATATTTAGAAACTCTTCAATTGATAAACATTCATAATAATGAACAAAGTCACCACAAATGTCACTCATTAGTTCTAACAAGGCAAATCACTTCAGAGCATCCTTTCTTTGTACACTGTTCTTGATGAAGGAGCTTCTGACTTGTAAGTAATAGTCAGTCAGTAAATATCTGCTGAATGAAAATATGACCCGTCAAATTAAAGACCATGTTTTGCTTACAGTCAAATGCAGTAAAGACAGAATCAAGCTAGCTCCCGAACAAGTTACAGCAAGTA